TCCAGGCGGCCTCGGCCCCGAGAATGCCTCACGCTTCTCCACGGACTCGATGGCGCTCACGAGGATCTTCTCGAACTTCTCGTCTTTCATTCCGATGATGAGGCGCTTCTTCTTGCTGTCGTACATCTTCTCGGTGCGGAAGAGGCCCACAATGTGCTGTGCCTCCTTCGACCCTGGCTTGAACTTGTCCAAGTACTCCTTCAGCGGAGCCTTGTACTTCTCCTCGCACGACTCCAGCATGGTGATGATCGCCGCCGTCAGCAAGAATGAGTCTGGCGCCCCCAACCCATGTCCAGCCTTCCCTTTGACCCTCGGCAGGTACTCCTCTGCGTGGGCCTTGGCCATGGCCCTCATGATGGGGCCCTCCACTAACATCTCGATCTCTACCGTGCACGCTGCGGCCAGCAGCCTGGCCTTCTGATTAGCGATCACCCCCAGCTTCAACGCTAAGTCGATCTTTTGCTTGTCCTCCGTGCATTCAATCTGGCGGTACTTCACAGAGCGACCTTGTGGCTCAGCTGCAGCGTCACCAGGTCCTGCATGCGCGAACTGTTCCTTCCACATCGGCCGAACAGCACTGCACCTTGGACAATGGGCACTCACAGCCTGGTGAGCACAAGACCTCGACCGAAGCACTCGAGCCAGACATCGACGAATTCACACGCACACCGCACCTCTGAGGCACGGTCAACAGGGTAGATGTGTTAACATATGCGCTCTCGCCACTTCATACGTGGCGAACTCCTCACTACACAGTTCACACCAGTAAGGGGGGTCGGCAACATGTTGGTGTACCGTGACTGACCCCCTCGACCTCGGACATTTTCCTTTCTTAATAGCTTGATCCAAGTGTTCCGACGCATATCGTTTTGTCGTATAAAAATTGTTGCACAAGATGCATTTGTTAGATATAGTAAGTATTTTTGCCAGCTGCTTTTTTCCGTGTCCTTCTGCTTTTGAGTTAGACTGATGCAGCAGTAGCTGGCGACGCGTGTCGAAGCCCAAGCCACAGCCCTCGATGTCGCACACGTGTGGTGCGGGAGTGGGCGGCTCGGGCAATTCTGGCTGAAGTGCCGCAGGATCTGGCTCTTCGTCTCCCTCCCGTGGTACCTCCTGCTCAGCTCCTCCCACCTCTCCCTCGACAGGTAGTTCTCCTCCACTTCCTCTTCTGTTCCTTCCTACCGTCACCTCCTCCATCAGCCTCTCCGAGATATCCGCGTAGACTCTAGGTCCCCCCGTCACCCTCTTCAGCTTCTCAACCGACACCTTTAGTACTGCCTCCCGCACTTCAGCATCACAAAAAAGCGCAACTGGGCGTTCCACAAGCGTGGGCAGAATGTCTGGCATCTGTAGGAACTCAACACAGGCAGAGAGATCGAGTAGCAGCTGGTTCCACCACGGCTGCACCGAACTCCCTCCAGGGGCCCCCGCTGAGAAGCCCATCTCGTCACACAGGTTGTGCTGGTCCCAAGCAGCGTAGCCAAACAGAGTGGCGATAAATAAGACATGCCTCTCAGGGTTTCGAATGATTTCTTGCCACCAGCTGATCCTCTGCGCTCGCAGCAGGCTGAAGGGCGCGCGTATTCGCAGAAGTTCCCGAACCTTAGAGTTGGGCAAGGCAGCGTGGTGTTTGGCCCTCAGCTCCGTCGCTTCAACCTTGAGACACCCCTTGCCCTGTAGAGCTTTTCTAGCTAGTTTCGCCTGCACGCCCTCAATCTTCTGAAGCTCCGCCTCAGGAAGAGGGCACGCGATCACCTCCGATAAGAGCGAGGCGTCGATCATGCTCTTGAAAATGACGCCCCTCCACCTTTCATTCGTCACTTCGCTCCAGAAACTCCCCAGGACTGCGAACGTTTGTTTTGCCCTCCTGACGCGATACTCGACTTCTGGTTTCGATCTTCCCTGGAAATGTAGTTGGCCACCCAGATACCTCGCCACTCTCTGTACCTCCCCCTTCATTACGTCCTTGTCCCTGTACAGCCTCCTCATCCCGTACTGTATGCCTCTCCCCTCCAGCTGCACCAGTGACACCTGCTTGTCCCCGTTCAGCGCTACCCCCTCCTCCCATAGCTCCGCATCGAGGTGCATGAACTGAGCATTCGTGCGCAGCCTGCAGTGAGCTGCGTCTTCCACGGCCGACGTACGAGCGATGTCGTCTGAGAAGCTGGAGACAGAAATGTCGAAAAACTCTCTCGACAGGGCCCCAAGGCGCTGCCTGGCCTCGTCATCTGCTGCTAGGCAGTGCCGAAGCCACTTGATCTGCACATAAATCCCGCTGGCGTCAGAATCCCGAAACCGATCGATCGCGGTGTTGTAGGACCCCAGGAACCATATGCATGCGACCGTGTCTCCAGGGAGTGTGCCTTGCCCAATGCTCACCTGGAGGTCCCCATCCACGCACTCAATCATCACCTGTGCGTAGTCCAGCCTCTGCTCCAGCAACTTAGCCCCGAACTCATCACAGTGCGCGCGCACATACGCTTTCAGCCTCTCATGATGGATACTGTGAAAAGCATTCGTAGCGTCGTACAATGTTGTTACTCTGCCTATCTTAGAGCCGTGCAGCCTAGCAGCGCAAGCGTTCTGTACAAGAATCGCCTCCTCCCGCCGCCTCCCCCGAAGATAACCGAACGCGTATGTCCTATCGGCCTGCGCAGTCAATGCTGGGTATGCACGCCAGAGCTGAGCATAGTAAGCTTTGCCGAGTGCGTCAAGCGAATGCACAAGCCTCTGGCCCTTGCATTCGCTTTTTCCGTTGAGCTTATCCAGCGAGAAAGCGTGGCTACGATGCCACTGCAGCGGCGTCTCTGAATGCATCCTGATGGCCGTGCAAATCCACACAATGCACTTGGTGATACATGGGAAATACCAGTCCTCCACATTTTCATATCTCTCCAAGGCCTCGCCTCGCGAGTACTTATATTCGTTGGGATTCATCATCAGCCTCCACACTCCTGCAGGAAAACTCCAGGCTGGCGGCGTCCGTCTCAGACGGGCCGACAACAGCTGCCTTCTCAGGCTTTCAAAGTCGTCGTTCGCTCTGGCAAGTGTGTCGGGCGTGAGCGAGGTGCACGCGGGCCTGGCTGCCCTTCGCGCTTGCTCCTCCTCCTGCGCAGGGGGTCTCGCCGCGAATCCACCCTTGCTACCTTGCTGCTCCAGAAAAGTGCGCCACGTGCTCATTTCTAATCGAGTCTTGGGGGCACAGAAGTTGCGTTGCTTAGGTCCTAAGTTGTTCTTCGCTAAAAGTCTGGACAGTTTCCAACAGAGCGCCATGTCTCCTTCACTCTTCGCAAGTTCTAATTCTCTCACATAAAGCCCCATGCGCCTAGATCTATCCCGGCGCAACTGGAGTCGAACCTTTTTGTCACGTTCCCTACACCTAGCTATGACTGCTGCCAGACACGCACTGGGTTCATACATCACTAGACATGCACGTGATGCGTAGCACATACGCCCGAGGAAATGCGGCGACAGAAACTCATGTACCCCACGTCCGCTGAACTTACAAAACGTGGTGCACAGCACACTGGGGAGAGGGAGAGGAGGAAGGGGATCGATGGGGACACTCTTCAAGTCCCTAAGCAACTTACGATCCCTGATTCTGTCTTGCAGGGCTTGCGTAATGTCAGAGGGCCTCGAGTCCTGCTTAGATTCCCTTTTAAAATACACGCGAGCCACTGATTCCACTACTTCGTGCATTTTGTTATACATTGCATCCGCACTCTGCACACTGAGCTCTTGCACTCTCTGCGCTACTACTTCGAGCTCTCGCTCGACCTGGTTCAGAAACACTTCCGACCCCTGGCCAAACCTCACGGCGCGCGAGATCGCATCGTGGTTCCAGCACGTCGGCGCTTGCTTGCACATCTCGAAACAGGGCCCTACTATAAACCTGAGCACCAGAGGGTAGTGGTCCCTGCGCGTGCGTGTGTGAATTATCTGCAATTTCTCGCCCGCCCTCCCCCACACCTCGCACGACTCCGTATATGATCTAACTACCGCGGGCGCGCACACATAGTCAATCCTTGACGTGTGCAGCCCTGAGCCGTGGTAAAAGGTCGGCCCTGTCTCAAAAAAAGTGTTCAGCGCTGCCAATTCTTGCTGCTCTAGAAACTCCCTCATCCTGCTACCGTTGAAATTCTCCTCGTCTGGCTCGCACGTTCCAACATATCTAGACTCCTGCTTGCCCCCTAACTTCGCATTCGCATCTATCATGATTACAGGGATGGTACGCGCTGGGAACGTGTCCACCAAACTGTTCAGGCTCTTCCAAAACTGTTTACACTTCTTCTCTTGTATACATCTCTCTTTAGCCGATCCGTGGGGCTCAGTCGGGGCATAGCCTACAACAAAGGTCATATCAATGATTTTTCCTCTGCACCTCACCGCGCCCAGCCTGCCCTCCATGCCTTTCGGGGACATCACGTGGCGTATGGTGTGGCTGGGGAAGGACTTGGTGCTCAGCAGCAGCGCGAGGCCAGTCGGGCGGCCCGCAACTCCACACGCACGAGGCCACCGAAATCTATGAAAGTGAGCCAGCCGATCTTGTTGACATGCGAGCCCTCGAGAATCTGGCGTACACTGTGTACCTTGCAATCCAATCACCTGGCACGATCTCAACTGTCTTGCGATGTCATTCCATCTCCCCTCCTGCCTCAGCGACAGCACGTTGTATGAACATACTCTTAAGTTCTGCATCAGCTGGGGCTGCCCGAGCGCATCACTCTGGGGGAGTGTCGAGAGCGCGACGGTGGCGCTCTGGGGGCCTCTTGTTGCCCCCCACTTAGATCCCCTCGGGCCAGAGGGGCGAGGAGGAGGAGGAGGAGGAGGAGGAGGAGGAGGAGGAGGAGGGAGGAGAAGGGAGGAGGAGGAGG